GTGATCAAACTTAAAATAAAAAAATAAAAAAAACACTTTAAATTTAATATATTTATTATAATAATAAGAACTCTAGAATGTTAAAAAACAAATTGTACCACCCTAGGTTTAGATTATTAGTAAGAGAGTTGGAGTACTTTACATGAAAATATGGGTTACGTTACGTCTAATAAATTAATGTTATATGATCACATGTGTTTGTCACAGTTGATCGGAAATAGAAAGAAGATTTGAGAAATTTATTTTTATGTATAGCGCGTTATTTATAAAACATGACGTCATTATCTTAAAACTCAACAAGAGTCATTATTCATGGGGACAAAGGTAGGTACAAGGGTTTTTGATGTTTACTTTGAATCCAGCAATCACACGGTAGACAAAAGAGACCCAGAGTTTGTTTCGATGAGGAGTAATAAGAGGGATATCCGGGAAAATGATGGCAAGGGGATAATTATTCTCATTTCTAGATTTTTAAATATATTTATCAGTAACTTAAGAAAATGTGAGGGGGAATTATTGTTATTCTCTATTTCATTTTTTTTTAATTACCGTTGCAAAAATATTATAACTTTTTTTCTTCACAACAAGGATACTATTGAAAAAAATAAGGCGATAGTCTTTCTATCTAATATATTTTATATTAATCAAAAATATATTGAACAGAGTTTATGTCAAATAATTTATTGCTTGCATTTTTTTGTTTTCATCGTAAACACTGGAAAATCTATTATTTCAATTTATAAATTTTGGAGAAAACTCTCTTTATTCCTCCAAAATTACACGAGTCACTACATTAGTCTTCTAAAAATTATAAAATTAATACATGAAAAGTTTAAACATTATCATATTAGCCTTTAAAATGTTTTGTCACAAAAAGATCTAAAATATCCATGCAGGTGATACTTATGTAGAACTGAAGTGGTAATTAACAAAAATGAATTACCAACAATAATTCATGCAGATTCATACTTATAATAATTTATTCATTGCTTACTTCTCTCATAATAGCGCTGTACTTCATAATTTAAAACTGATAACCAACACAACAGAGATATATGAATTACCAACAACACATGTTGAGTGCGATGGCCGTAAGCAACTTACATTATTAAAGAGGACGTTAAATTTTGGATTTAAAAAAATGTGTAATCTCAGATATATTCTTACGTACACACACAAATAAATATCCGTATATATAAATAACAAAAATGTAAAAAATAATGGCAATCATTTAAACATGAGATGGATACCATTGTTTTCTTTTCATTCCCTCGATGTCCTATTTCATAAACAGGAGTATGATTACGATTAACAATCATTTATAATAAAATTAGATAAATATTTTTCGTTTATTTTGTGATAGAAAGATTCAGTTTTACCATTACATAATGTTTAGAAAAAAGAAACGAGTTTGTTGTGGCGAAAATGCGGTAGTTGCCTTTCATTTAAATTTGAGAGGAAAAATAATAGAAATCATGTATCATAATGCTAGAGATACGAGATGGGCGGTACGGGTTATTCCATGCTTAAGCAAGGTCAGGAATTTGAATCTTGCATTATGTATGCAGCCGCGTTAAATTTTGGGGCCAGCTATCCTACTCTTTGAGGTGCGTTCAACGTAGCGAGAAGATTAGTTACTATTATCGGCGATAAATATTCCAGGGACGAACAAAAAAAAAAAGATACGAGATGGCCCGGAAGTACAAAGCCAGGGTTTGATAACACACCTTGCTGGACTTAAGGCCCATTCTACTGGGGCAAAGGCAAATGATACACAACAAGAGCCCAAAATTCATTAGTAATCCAAATCTTATGGAAACCTAAAACAGTTAAGGTTGATGATATATACACCTCCATTTTTTTTATACATACACCCTCTTTTTAAAAAAAATATTAAATTCTTAAATTATCCTTAATATTATTTGGAATAAAAAAAATTATTCTGGAAAGTGTTTTTCAAAGGTTGATGATATATACACCTCCTTTTTCCTATAAGTACACTTTTTTTTTTTTAATTTTACATTCACAATATTTAATTTAGTACTTCTTTTTTACAGATCTTTCTTTTTTCTTCTTTTTTTCTTTTTCAATTTTTACATGCACCCCATTATCTTTCCTTCCCCACCTATTTTGGTAACATGTAAAAATTGAAAGAGAAAAAAAAAGTGTGTGAAAAAAAGAAAAAAGTAGAAATTTGAAAGTTAAAGGTATAAAATTAAAAAATATATATAATATTTTATAATTTTTTTAAAAAAATAAAGAAGGTGTACTTATAAAAAAAACAGGAGGTGTATATATCATGAACCTTCCAAAAAGAACTTTCCGTCAGAATAATTACGGAAAATACTTTCCAGAATACTAAAATTACTATTCCGGAAATAACTTTCCGTCCAAATAATTATGGAAAATACTTTCCGTAACACTAGAATTACTATTGCGAAAAATTCTTTCTGGAATATTAACAGTGTGTGTATTTGTTACCATAATTCCGGAAAGAACTTTTCGCAACAGTAATTCTAGTGTTACAGAAAGTACTTTCCAGAATTATTCTGACAGAAAGTTATTTCCGGAATAGTAATTTTAGTATTCTGTAAAAAAATTTCCATAATTATGTACAAATATACCTCCGAAAAAAATTTTATAGAATAATTTTTTTTTATTTCAAATAATATTAAAGATAATTTAAGAATTTAATATTTAAAAAAAAGGAGGTATATATATAAAAAAAATGGAAGTGTATATATCATCAGCCAACAGTTAAAAAGCCTATAATTTATGTTTCCGATATATTAGGCCTGCACTTGTTCCAATTTCTTTGGCCCATACTTGTTTAAGTTCAGAGCAAATAGTCACAGTATACCAGTCCATACTACTATGGCCGAGACTTAATGGGTCCAAGCGAACCTGTTAAGGGACCAAAATAAGAAATGCATGTATTCTTAAGGTCTGATATTTTATTTCAGTTTTATTTTCACAATAAAAGATGAGTATATTGTTACCTTACACACTCTTTATGGTCCTTAATATATTTTTTATTATTTCTTATTTCCTCAATTCTCCTTACATGGTATTTAGAGCTAGTTTTGATTTATCACTTATTTATTGGGTCAAGAGAGTTTAAACACTAAAGAATATCCACACTTTGATAGTGGGTAAATCTCATAGAATTTAACAACATAACATAATTCAAAACCTTAAAAAATTAGATATGTAGGTGAATTTTTTTTACTTTTATACTATTCAATATATTTAATTTGATCAGATATGAATTTCACTACACACTTAAACTCCAACAATTTTATCTTCTAAAATCATTGGTTAAGAATAATGTTTTGTTAACAGCAATTAGATTATTCAAGTTATAACAGCGGCTGGTGAAAAGGATGATTGTTAATTTTCAATGTAAATTTGTTGTCCTTATTAAATAGTTTCAGAATGAAGTTTCTAGCCAAGTAATAACCATATGTCATGTTTGCCTCCTTAAATATAGATTTGCCTTTTTTCCATTTGGATTATATCCTTTGTGTCCTTATAATTAGCATTGTTTGTGTCAAACACGACTACTGATGTCTGATGGCACAAACACTCGTGTCATTGTACCTGGTCTATTTTCATATATCATTATCTCTTTCCAATGCTTACCACATTCCTAATCTCCCGTTCAATGTTTGTTTTGTTTTTGGGGTCAATTCTACAATTCTGGTTTTGCAGTCTCATTTTCTTCCATCTTCTACTATGTGCAACATTGATAAAAATGGCACCCGTGTATTGTGTTGAAGACTTGAAGTCAAAACTAAACTACCTTAATCATAATATATTTTTTATATTTTTCTGTAGTCCAATACTCTTGGTTCCTCGCAACAACTATACAATAATAGAGAACAAACCATAATAATAAAAAATCAAAATGAACGAAATACATGATTTTGATATGTACTTCTAGTGAGTATACTTCGGAAACAAATTAATTATAAAAATGATAGATTCTTTCAAAATTTATTTTAAAAACTGACAAATTAATTTATTATTTCATTAAAGTACGCTGAATCACTATAAATCATGTAGTTCGGAAATAATTGTTTTCCCATGTTGGTGGAGGCGTGATGAAAAGTAATGCATAAAGTAAGTAATTCTATTTTAATTATTTCAATATCTTAATTATCAAATAATTAGTTACATTAATTAAACATTTTTTTTTTAAAGATCACACATATTTTCTTAAGGAAAAAATCATATTTGAACCGAAAGATCATTACAGACAACAAATTTTTTTGTTCATATATTTAACATTATTAAAACTGTTAGACGATCAACACCATGAGAGGAAGAAAAGGAAAGGAAATTGATTAAAAATGCATCTGTGTTGTATTATTTTAGAATGGCAAAGCCAATATATATACATGGGAAGGAGAACAAAAAATAAACAAAATAATTAACTATATAAGTCATACAAATTCAATACCCCCTCAAGATGGGAGGAATATGTTCTCAACTCCCAGCTTGGACAATATGTTAAGAAACGCAGTACAGGGTAAGGACTTAGTGAAGATATCAGCTAGCTGATGATGCTTTCTGACACGGATTAACTTGAGAGCACCTTTGTCCACTTGTTCCTTGACATAATGAAGATCAATTTCAAGGTGTTTAGTTCTTTCATGATATGTGTGGTTAGAAGCAATGTGGATAGCAGCCTGATTGTCACAGTAAACAGTAACATATGGAATATGTATGTTGAAATCAGTCAGTAAATTCCTCAGCTAAGTTAGCTCAGTAGAGACAGATGCTAGAGATCTGTATTCTACTTTTGCTGAGGATTTGCTAACAGTATTATGCCGCTTAGCTTTCCAGGAAACAAGAGAATTTCCAAGGAAAACACAGAAACCGGTGGTGGATCTTCTACTATCAATGTAGGAGCCCCAATCTGCATCCAAATATGCATGAAGTTTAGTGTCAGAATTGGTCTTGAATAAAATTCCTCGACCAACAGTGTGTTTAAGATATCTTAATAGCATATGAGCAGCATCCATGTGACCAGAATGAGGATCAAAGATAAACTGACCCAATTTGTGACTAGTGTAGCTAATATCTGGTCTAGAAATGGTTAAATACAAGAGCCTCCCTATAAGCCTTCTATATACACCTGGATTAGAGAGTTTTGTGCCAGATTCAACATGTAGTTTCAACGAAGCTTCCATAGGAATAGCTCAGGTTTGCAGGCCAGCATTCCACAGTCTTCAAGAATGGAGAGAGTGTAATGTTTTTGACACATGAAAATTCCTGACTTAGATTTTGATAGTTCCAAGCCCAATAAAAATTTTAAATCACCTAGGTCCTTCAATTTGAAGTGTTGGTGGAGCATGTCTTTGACAGAGGTGATAGCAGTAGGGTTTGGACTAGCAATAACAATGTCATTAACATAGACAAGTATGACAATGAATGTTGAATTGGTACCTTGAGTAAACAAGGTGTAGTCATACTTGGACTGATTGAATTCTTGAGAAGTTAGTGTGGTGTTGAATTTATTGAACCAACGTCTTGAGGCTTGTTTGAGGCCATGTATAAACTTGTGTAGCTTGATATTATTAATTAAGTTGTGACAAGTTAACACTAGTTATTTATATGCTTAGTGGTATATTAAACATTTTTTTATATATATTTTCTAGGTATGAAATAACTTTATTTTTTAATCTATTAATCAGTAGGAAATCTATTAAAACGACAAAGCAAATTTCTTAATTATAAAAGTTTAGACAAATTTTGTAGGTAAAGTTAATTAATATAACGCTTCATCAATTACAAATTAAAATAATTATTTGAGAAAAAAATCTATATAATATTTGACGTAAAACAACGATATAGTAATATAGAATATCCATAGACAGAACTAACAATAACTAAATTAAACGTAGACAAGATAACAAGAGAGGGAGGAGACGGCTTAGCATAGGTTTTTTTTTTTTTTTTTTTTTTTCGCTTAATTTCAGTTTTGATCTCTCAAATATTGCAATTGTACAATTTTGATCCCTAAGATTTTAATTGGGTAATTTTAGTCCCTAAAAGATTGAAGTTGTGCAATTTTAGTCCTTCAATTTTTAATTAAACAATTTTAGTCTCTCAAATATCATAATTGTGCGATTTTAATCTCTCTTATTAAAAATTTAATAATTTTAAAATTTTAATATATATATATATAATATTTTAAAATTATACAATTATTTGCTTATTTAAGTTAACGCGTATTATAATTTTTGTTAATGTAGCAAATAATATATATTTATTATTACTAAATAAATAAA